GTACTCGAGTGATCGTCTGTGTGGCACCAGTAGATATCAAGCCGATGATGGCTGAGCTTGGCTTATGCTTGTCGAAAAATTGTTTACTTTTGAAGGAGGCCGATGTTAACAGGTCACAGGAAGAGCCCGACGAGCCCTTCTTGGGTTTAATACGAGAGTTCCACAAAGTTGGCCACTTTTCAAGTGTGTGTCAAGTTTGTGAAAAGAATGTATATTCGATTACCATGCAAAGGTCGGTGTTCGCATTCCGCTGAGATGGCGAGGAATCGTGCCTAGCTGAGTTCATTACTGATGAGTACCTGAAATTTTTCATTTCGAAAAGATAGAGCAGTATACTTACGATCCCTTGGATACCTACAAGCCATACTTACCTCGTTCGTTCACTGTCAAGGCTCAACAACTCGTTAGGTGTGGGAAAGTCAATAGGACGGGGATGTGCATGGTAAGGAACACATCGAAGGCCTAGCGTCATCAACGGAGCGAAGTATCCCACCAATGAAGCGGTTACTGATAATACGATGAAATATGAGATGCGGCGAACTGTAACAGTTAACTTATACAACTTCTGGGAGCAGCACTTGTCTTTCACACACACTCAACAGTACGACTAATTGATACGTCGACTGCAAATGTTCATCATAAACCCATGATGTTCCAAATAAATTGTGTGATCAAATGTCAAATGATGAAGGATATCTGAAGTAATGTCTTGAAGACCGGGAAATAAAATAAAATATAAAATAATACTTAGGACTTACTGTGGAAGAACACTACACTTGAATTTACCTTAAAGTTTTCAAGTCACATTAAGTGCCTACCTATCAATGGATGGTCGTTTATCTCCGGTGAAATGCTAGCGAAAACAATCCATAGAGCGATTTGGCAAAAAGGTGCAAGCAGCTGGTAAGTGTTCACCTGAAAAGAAGCATGTTGTTATAGGCTTTCCATTCGAAATTTTCAAGCGAATTCACGTTATAACGGCCACGTGGATTTTTAATCTTTCACAGACGAAATGTTAAGCTTTGCTCCCAAAACGCAGGACGGGTACTTGGCCTCACGGTAGTCCTCCATGGCTCATAGCTCTAACGAGCGGTAGCGATGCAATGTAACCCCTTGCCCTCGTATCCTCCCCAACTGTATTTCTGCCCCTTTGATGCATCGCATATATGAAGGGCTTCTGAGTATATGTGCATTTACGAAGGGCTATGACGAAGAAAAAATGTGTTGTCTGTGGAATCCTACGTCCTTTGCATTTCATTCCATGCAGACAGTAGGAGGCCCTTATCAACTGACGTTCTTGTTCATCGCCCTTCTCTACTATTGCCTTCTAAGGTCACGGTACCCATTCTGCAATAGTTGTTTGCCCGTTGATGAGTGAATCAAGAAGGATGAAAACTACATTTAAACTACGTTCTTTTTTGATGCTAAGTTTTTTAGCACTCCGGCATTTGGCTGTACTTCGATTCCATCTTCATCTGGAATAAGCCATGAGCCGAGCAAGTAGCGGTGCATTACATTGCAATCTTTTGACTGCATTGCAACGCCACTGGAACATCCTTCAATTTAAAATACGTTTCTGCGCACGAATATTTGAATGCAGCTCATAACCCCAGGGGGATGGGACTTACGTGCGTCCGAGGATGCGCACGGCAACTTGCGTGGCAAACTTCGTGACGACTTACACGACTCTGACGCCAATTTTCAGTGCTGAAACTGAAAGTAGAGTAGCTTGTAAGGGTTAGATGATCCTTCT